ACCCTGCGTCTTTCAGAATGTGATGATCGCCTTTTGAGGTGCCTGATTGCGGTTGATGGGAGACCCAGTGGGGGAGCTGGTTGACCTGCAGACCAGGGCTAGGGCAAATGAAGCGGGTCACATAAAGGAAATTGGTAAAGGAAAAGATAGAAACAAAGGGGAAAGTGGGGAGAGTGAGGGATATGTGGTAAAGGCAAGGAATGGTGAAGATATGATCGAAAGATGGCGAGAGATGGGAAAAGATAATAAAGGAATCACCGGGTAGACACGGTCAAATATTTGCGATACCGTCTCCGGGAACGGGATGCGCAATCTGTGCGGGCATTAGTTTTGTTGAGTATCACGGGTGGCTGTGTTGAATATTATGGTGGCTGAACCTTATGGCAGGGATTGGGAACGGATATATATATGAGGCATCCCGCCCCTGTAAAAGATAACTCCTTAAGTCAATTAACACGAATCAACATCACTATGACTTATCTCAACAAGTTTGTTCAGACGCCCAGGCGGGCGCGTCACTTCACCGCCTTCTGGTCGGTCCCTCTAATTGTTTGTTGTTGTCCTGGGCCATCAACATTTGCTGATGCTCGGGTAGGCCCGGGACTAGTCCTTATGAGGAAGCTGGGGTCTCCGAATGCGCACCGAAGGAATATTTTTGCCCTCGGGTTTCGACCTTTGGGCGTCGGACGTAAGGCAACGAGATCAACACATGAGTGTACTGGCATTTGAATATACTAATACCCCGAGTCACTGCAAAAATGAGCCTCGTCGCTCGCGATTGATAATCATGTGGATCAATGGTCTATGCTTTTCGTATACGAATGGTCAATGATATATATAATATAACAATCACTAGCTACTCCCGCGTGTCCGGCACAACCGGCATTTGGTAACTCCACGAGACACATACAAAATCAACAGGCGCGCCAAGATTGAATATATTGCCCACTCTAAGGGATCGCTCATCAAAACCAGGTCAGCAGGTTGATAATTTGCTCAGCCTCCGATGCCTCCAATTTCAAAGGATTCAACGTCGAGCATGCTTGCTGGGCATTAATTTTTCCGGGCGGATATGACCAATGAGAATTCGTCCCGCCAGCGGCATTCCACCCCAACAACAAAACCTATTTCCAATTCAACCCTACCAAAAATGAGGTTGTCGGGATGTCGACCAAATTGACCAGAGTGCAAAAACGGTGGACGTACTGATCGCATCTCACGCAACAGATCCTGGTCTCCTTTCAGGTTGATAGACGGTGTAGGTTGCGCATCTGCCAAAGAACGAATTGGGCATCATATATGGAGAGCATGATATTCTTCCTCGATTGTTCCTTGCTCCATTCCACCGAGGACAGCAGCTGGTGAAAGTATACAGAATTATACTCTCAGATTCAGTCGTGCTTCTCGTCATAGTTATGACTATATGGGCATTGTCTACCGCCATGGTGAGCACACGCATGGCCCAACCCTTGAAAACAGACCGGGTGGTTGGGATTGACAGACCATATGTAGATATGGGAACTTGTAACTCACCAAAGGAATTCGGAGTCGTGGAACGGTCAGCTGGTATGGCAATGCAACGACAACTTCTTTCTAGATGTAGTGGGCTGACCAAGGCCAGAAAGTCCGTTCTAGCACATCAAACCCTCGGTGTTGCGAACCCACCGAGCTTGTTATGAGGCGTGAGTTGGTGTTCTCTTGACGCAACCTTCACTAAATTATTATTTGATGAATCGAACAAACGACGGGGCAGACGTCTTCACAGACAGTCCACACCATGTGCACCGTCCTCATCGGCCAAACTAGCCAACCTAGAAGCCCCCAAGACCAACCCAAGACCCCTGATTATACTCAACAAGCTGTTGGTTAATTAGGTGAACTAGCAAGCCTATGATTCCGAGCAAACCAAGGCCGGGGTTCTCGAGGACTGGCATGTCCATTCTTAGAAATGCAGTACACTTTCCCCGGATCAGCTTCCGGCCATCCTTCACGATTTCCCCCCGAACGACTGTCAGAAAGTTCTTCCTTCACGTGGCCTTGTTGCGTAGGCCTTTGTGGTCATTGGAACTTATCGTACTTCTAACAAAAGGAATGCCCGTGGCGGCTGTAGGTAGACCATATAGTTGCACTAGCTTCCTGACACACTCTCCTAGACAACATTCAGTGAGCATACTCCTTATGTAGCGACGTGGGGGTCATATACGAAAAGTATCTGGACACGGGGACGGCCGCTCGTTTCTCTGACTTCACTTGAGCCGGACATGCCAGCCGCGAGAAGAGACGTTCGTGGCACCGTTTGGTTCGGACGAACTCGGCCGCCTGCGGTCTCTACGCAACATGCAGCGATGTGCACTACCTCGGATTACGTCCCAAGCAACCAGGCGTTTATTCGTGCCACTCCCGGGTTGAATTGTCTACCACCCCAGCACTCCACTCCCAATCCGGCTCCACGCGAAATCCTAGCCCGAAGTCCTTGGGAGATATATGAGGCTTGTTCCGCAATCAACTATGGCCGAACCATGGTGCTGGCTAGGCATCGTGGAAACAAAAACAGACATGGTCCACATCCAGATGCAGGCCGTGGAGCGATCGACAATCGAGATTTATGTCCGGATGATCGATCGCCTCGCTCATTGCCGCAGTCCTCGACTTCTGAGTGTCTTCCAATACGCAGAACAATATCTTCTCGTGTGGTAGCCTTTTGAATTCACTCTCTTCGAGGTTCAGGTGATCATGCGCCACATCCCCGAAAGGGAAGAGGCTCAGAATTTGTGGCCTGAGCGCGCCGCTCCTCGTTTACTGGATGCCATTCGTTAACTCATTGTTTACAGGTGTCAGAGTGTCTTCGATTCCTACGTGATGAATCAGGGGAATTGGTCAGCCTCACTCCCCGAGACATTCTGTCACCGAGGAGGGCGAATTAAAGATCGGTACGCTTATTCCAACCGCAGGCTACACAACACTGATACTCAGTGACATATAGCCGGTTTCGAGAACAGCCGTCAATTCGATACTTCATGAGCTGGCGCGTTGAAATCTACCTTCAAGGCTCTCCGGTTGATAGTCCACGAGATAGTGGAGGAACATGGCTCCGGATTCTCCTGGAGCTCCGAGCTCCGAGCTTTCAAATCAGCCCTAGCGAGAAGCACCTCTGGGCAATGCTTAGATGACATCATGCGGGTAAGCTAGAACACATGTCTGTGTCGTTATGCAATGCAGCGGCGGATCAGCAAGCACGCCTTTTTTGAACAAGTGGCCGGGGCGGGAGGCCTAAAGCTACTGGTAGAGCTGGTGAAAGGAACGGTTTTCCACGAAGTTATCGTTCGGCGCGAGGGCGCTTTTTCCAGAGCTGGGGCACGAGGAAAACCTCTGAGACCGTCTACGACATAGCTGGTGCTGAGGTCAAACTGATGTAGGCCGTTACGTGGCATGAGATGCTGGATACGGGTGTCCCGGTGCATCTCACTTGCTGCCGTGATCGCCAAAGAGTATGCCTGCCTAGTACCCAGCGTATATCGACCACTCAAACCTCTATGTAGATCCTACATATCTGAGGGATAATATTGCGGAACTCAAGCCTAATTGATGTCTGGTAGTGCTGTGAAACTAGGAATAAGGATGCAGCATTTATTGCTTACGACGAGTTACCAACCAACTGTTCATGAAGGAAGTGCATGACGACATAAAGGACGCTGTCAGCTTGAATGATTGCTAAACGTTTGCTGCGAAAACTTCACTCACAAACATGCCTAGATGATGGTGGATGCCATCGGATCCAGACCGGTCAGAGTAATACAAGATCGTTTCTGGCTTTTTTGTTCACAACATGGACGCACAGCTTTAGATCTCTTTCGTCCGTTGCTGCTTCGAGAAATGTATCCTAGGACTCTGTTACCAACTATTGCTCCATCTCTTAGCTGCCCCACTTACCTGCATCAACTCATCCAAAGACTTGGTGGTCAAGTTTTCAAGGAAGGCTTGGACCTTAGAGCTCCATATGCCCTGTGCTGCACCAGTGGCCACCAGGCTCCCCGTGATTGTAGCCAGCGTGGTCAATTTCAGTGTCTCGGCATTCATATCGGATGCTGAGATCTGGTAGCTCTGTTCGACCCCAGCTAGTGCGCCAAGTCAGTTGACAATGTTCGTAGCGACGATCAAAGAGGCGTAATTACCAAGACGGACATGGCCCCTTCGGTCCAAGAGGATTGTCTCCGCCTCTAGATTGGCCAATGCTCTTCCCTGATCCCGAAGGAATCTAATGCCGTCAAGGGTCTGCTTGGGTTAGTATCCACTGCCTTCCCGTCGCACAGTCACCGCTAGCAACACTCACCGACCGGAGAATGTATGCCAGCTCGGTCTCGTTGACCGGCCACCGGGCGGTTAGAATGTAGTTCACTGTGATCTCTACCGGCTCCCAAATCAGGTGCAGCTCGCCCGTATGGTAGTACGACTCCAGAAGCCGTGGGAATGTGGGATGAGAAAGACGTCTGATCGTCTCTAACAGGCTTTGGACTTGAGGTCGGTCAATGGGAAGGCATCGGATGTTTACAATATTCTGTCTGTGCTTGCGATGCTGGGCCAGGGTGATTGGTTGCTTGCGACAAATCTTGGCTCGTGGTTCGTACACGCTCCACGGGTTCTCTTCGTAGCAACTGAAATGTGTGATACCATCGCGATTGTTGGTAGCCGGGATTGGTTTTGGCGTTTCTTCAGTGTTCGGTTCTGTTGATGATCGAGACTCTTCAGCTCGAGTTGATGAATCCCTGCCCAACCAGAGAGTCCGTGGGCGTTTCGTGCGCAGATCTGTCATGACGAAGATAGTTGTTGGATTTTGACAGAGCGGCTGCGGCTGCAACTGCAAGATGACAAGACGGAGGTACTGGTTTTATACCCCAGAGGGTCGAGGGGGTGGGGGACTGAATCGGTCTTGTTATTGCCCACCCTCAGATTCTCCGATCGAAAACTAGCAAAGCATTATTCAGGAAACAGTGTTGATACGCACTGGCCAGGTACCGAAAGGCCCACGGCAGGACGACGTTTGGACGCGGGTAAAATCCGCATCAGTCTTCGGCGTGCAAGATTGGAGGAATGCTACATCATACGGGCGCGAATGTGAGCCTCTTGATCATGGATGTACGATTCTCACATGTTCCTCTCGAAGA